GGGACCATGTAGTGCAGCCTCTTATTTTCCACAGAGGGAAAATTGAGACCCAAGAGAGGAAGTGGCTTACTCAGATCAAAAAAGAGAATTAGTGGAAACTCTATGCAAGTATGCGAAAGGGAACATGACGGAAACCCAGACTTTCAAATGGGGTGCGCCAAATGAGTGTGTAAACCATCACTTTGACAATCATTACATCGTTGTCTAGAATTTCCTACGGATTAAAGACACTATACCACCTTAGTTAAAAGTAACTAACCCCCAGAAAAATTGTCAGATCTGTGTTTGTTTTTAAAATGTTTATTTTCTGTTAATTGGTATTTTACCTTAGACTTTTGTTCATCTCACAGCAAGGCAAATGCATTTCTACCTAATTCGGCTATGCTGACAGGAACAGTTTCTCATCTAGTTCAGAATCCTCAGCACAGTGTATGGGCATAGGGTAGGTACTTGAAACATTTGTTAATTTATGCATTGTGGTAACACAGTGGCCATTCTAGTCTGACAGGCCTGGTTGTGAGTCCCAGTTCTGTCACTAGCTATGTGGCCTTGGGCAGGTTATTTCACCTCTGAGACTTGTTTCCTTATCTGAGAAATGTGATGAGGGTGTATGTATGTAAATACACACACACACACACACACACACACACACACACACACCTTAAAATAATACTTTGCAAGATTCTAAATTCCCAACGTGGTACCTGGCACCTACACTGTTGGGATTTGGTTTTTGTTATTGTTTTGTGGGGGAAGGGAGTGATCCTTACTTTTTTCTGTGTTAAATTTCAGAGCTAAAATTGGGATCTAACAATGTGGCAATCTCAGCATTATCTCTGAGAAATACCTTAAACTCTTAAACAAACAAAAACGTGTCTGATTTTTTTCTGTCATTGATCACTCCTCATTCATGTCCTATCCTACTGCCTTCTCTCTTTTTCTCTCTTTGCCTCAAAGAAAATTAATGAAGCTGTATAGAAAGCTCCAAGATAGAAGTGACCTTGTGCATCTTTAATTGAGGACAGAATTTGCTAAAAGTGCCTCCAAAAACCCACTAGTGGCTTACTTTACAATCTGTGTCCTGGCTAGACTGGCTATTGGCTGTATAATTTGTCTAGTTTTGTCTGGAGTCTTAGACTATTCAGCTGCTTCAGGGCAAAATCTTTTGGGGTGTCATTAAATGGGATTGATAATTGGTTTCTGATGAATATTCATTGTGACTAATGACTTTGGGCAAATTTTACACATACTATCTTTCTATTCTCCCACTGAGTGAGAGTTTGATAGGATCATTTCCTTCAACTTACACTTCAATTAAAATATTCACAATACCCCTTTGTTGATTACTATCTAAATTGTATACTTTCATTACTTTTAAATTTTGTATTCTGTAAGAAGTGAACATAGGCCTTTAGAATCCTTATCTTTTAAATTAGGGTTGGTTTTAGAGCTATTTTTAAAACAAGTGGTTAATGATAATATACAAAACATAATATGGTATTTCTGATTAAGCATAGATATAACACTTTTTTTTGTGGTCAACTCAGCCACTTTTCCTAAGTAATGGTATACATTGTTTATGCTATTTAGTATTTGGTAAAAGAGCTCAAATATCCCCCCCACCCCACCTTTTTTTTCTTAATCAGATGGGCAAATGCATTTTGTTCCAATTGCAGAGACTTGGCCCTTAGAAAAACCCCAATAAAAATGATGATCAAATACCTTAAAAGTTTGTTTTTCATGAGAGATCAGAAATTTTTAAATCTTGGCATCCAGCTTGGCAGGGGATTCTTTTTTTCTTTCTTGAGGTTAAAGAGACATGAAAAGAACATTGTATGAAGATAAGATCTCTGCCATTTTACCACTTGAAGTAGGCTTTAGACTCAAACCAGTTTAAGCTAAAAAGAGGCAGGTAATCAAGTTCTGTTTGAACCAGGAACATTCTACTGAATTACTTTTTCAAATAGAACTCCAAATAAATTATGTGATAACTTATATTTGTGTGGCACCTTGTAGGTTTTAAAGTGCTTTTATTTATCTGATGTGTTGTAGAGTTATATTATGGAACGAAAGGATGAATGAATACATTGACTTGATTTTCCAAGAAATGGCATATCTTGTGTCTATGCTTATTGGCATTGTTTTGGAATTTGTGTCATATACCCCACTCTGTGACATTCATGAAAATATTGGTCCAATACTATTAAAAGCCAAGCCACTATTTTTAGTTAGGGACATGTCAAAAGATTAGGGGAGAACTATTCTAACTATTTTTTATTTATTCAAGAAAGATTGCATTAGCTGGCACTTACATATATGTTGCACCACCGAGACCATGGAGAGGAGAAGAGAGACTGGTCTTTTAGTCCTTTACAATGAGAGGACACATGTGCATTTATAGCCCCTTTGATCGTGGGTTGTATGCCCAGGAGAGCCGTGTGAGGAAGGTAGTACTTGGAGGAGTTTGCTCTGGGCACAAATTCAGGCCAGTTTAGAGGACCGGTGGAAAGAGAGAAAGTAGGAAAAGGAATACATAACGCCTCCTACATCTGCAAATGTTTTATTCCAAAGATAAACTTGGAGAAGGCAAGAGAAACTGTGGCTGGAGATGCTGCTCTACATGTAGACTGGGAACTGGTGGAGACATGCCTGTTTCAGGTGTGTCCCCAAAGACTTCCGAGTAGGGTGTTCCACGACCGGACCTGTACTTTATGTAAGAGTACTTTGGCAGCTAAAGGGTGGGCAGAAAGAGCTGGGGGTCCAAGGCCAGGGTCACCCCCCAGTTTGGCTTCAGGATGGAATAAAAATAAAATTGTTCATTTTCTACACTTTCAATACCGGCAAAGATTCTCATTTCTTCTAAAGCTGAAGAGATTGGTCATGTATAATATGACAGTTTCCTTTATATTGAAGCAATATTAAAATGGGTTGAGAAGGCTGGGTTAAATCTACAAACCTTGGTGTGTCACTGGGAACAGCTCTAGAGAGCTTCTGGACCAGCTTCTGTCGATGACATGTACCTGGTTTAAAGAACAGTGTCTGGAGGAAAGAGGTGGGGGGCGGGGAGTAGCAGCCCTGGATTTAATACGCAGCTCTCACAACTGTGAAACATCAGCAGAATATCCCATTTAAAGCTGTTCGTGTTACACTAACCTCTGGGATTCTTTTAACTGGGCCTTGGCACGTCACTCTTTCACCACGTAAATGTCTTTCTGTCAACAAAGGCCAGTTAACAGCTTCCAAAAGAAGCAAAGTCCTCATGGGAACAGGTTTCCCAGAAACCAAAGAAACAAGACAGAGAGAAGCATGTGTTGTTGGCTTTTGTCACTTCATAGCCTTATTTTCCAAGGTGTTGGGTTTTTTTTCCCTTCTTTCTCTCTATTGAATTTTTTAACAATTTTATTTCCATTATATCTTTGTTTCCAAAAATGTAATTATATAAAGTACTGATTGTATGATATATCTAGCTCTTAAGAAAAAAAGGAATATGAAACAGAGGCATTTCAAAACAATAGGGAGAGGAAGGATTAGTCAGTTAACAGTGCTGGGGCCATTGATTAACTATGTGGAAAAAATAAATTCTCACCTCAGTCCTTAAACCTAAATTCATTCCAGATGGATTAAAGTTAAATGCTGGGGAAGATTTGGGGGACTTTCTTAGTATAAAAGCAGTGGAAACCATCATGAAGGAAGAAATTTTTCTATGTGTTAACTTAAACCTTCTCTTCACCCCCAAAAATTCAAAGAAAATTAAATAAGGATGAAGTATTTTTTCCCAAAACATTGCAAAGGATTTTAGTGTCCTTTTCATATCTGTTGTTTCTTGCAAATCAGTTTTTAAGCATACTAGTACTCGTTAGAAAAAGTGGCCTAGGAATAGGAAACAGACCGTTTACCTAAAAAATATAGTCAAGAGATATATGGCAAGATGTTCAGCTGTAGTCATTCCTCAAAACATAGTAATAAAAAATTAAAAAAAAAAAAATCAAGCCGAAACCAGTTTTGCTCAATGGATAAAGCATCAGCCTGCCGACTGAAAGGTCCCAGGTTTGATTCCGGTCAAGGGCATGTGTACCTTCGTTGCGGGCACATCCCCAGTAGGGGATGTGCAAGAGGCAGCTGATCAATGATTCTCTCTCATCGATGTTTCTGACTCTCTGTCCCTCTCTCTTCCTCTCTAAAAAAATCAATAAAATATATATTTTTTAAAGTCAATAAAATATATATTTTTAAAAAATCAAGATAGATACAGTTTAAAGCTAACTTGAGTCCAGTTCTTGTTGCTGGTGAGGTATAAGGGGACACTGTAGCACAGGGCTGGGCGAGTGTAAAGAGCTTCCATCCTTCATCTATTTATTATGTGACTGCATTTACTATGTTTATGTTTTTATATTTATTAAGTGCCTTAAAATATTTATGACTTTTGTCTCTGCATTCTACATCTAGGAACCAGATATAAAAATTATTGACCTGATCTGATTATATAACTTAATGGTAGAAGAGTGATTAAATATAGTATGGGGAATTTATTGAGTGTTGTTAAAAGATATGTTTTCTAAGAGTATTTTAAAGATATGGGAAAATGCCAGCTAATAATGTTGACTTGAAGAAAAAAGAACATACTGAAAAAAAAGAAAAAAGAACAAGTGAACACTGTAGTTATAATAATCCTAATTTTATTAGAAAAGGAAATACAAGTGCATATGTATGTAATACCCCAAAATGTTAAATTATTTTCAGATGGTGAAGACTTTTGTTTCCTTTTATCCCTTTTTCCATTTTCTAAATTTTCTGCTGTCATTGTGCATTAGTTTCATAATCAGGTAAAAAATAGATTGTTTTTTGGAAAGCAGACTCTTATTAAATTTGAATTAGGGTGATTGAGTTAATTTATTTTAAATACTTTGAGAAGTATGTATTTAATTTTATTGCTCCACTCCAACAGGACAGTGTCTCACTTTGACTGCTAGTTCTAAGCCTCTGATTTGCTTCTCTTGCAGTTGACGGCCTGCATCCACGGGTCTGCCGCCATGCTCTACCCCATGTTCTGGCAGCATGTGTACATCCCCGTCCTGCCACCACACCTGCTGGACTACTGCTGGTAAGCCGCTGCTTTTCCCACCTCTGCTTTCCTTCTCCGGAATTGTCATGGAAGTTAGGTCTGTAACTTGTAATGCAGTTGATGACTATAAATGAAAAATATTAGCTTCAAAATGACATGCGTTTTAGACCACACAATTGCATGGCCCTTCTGTTTCCAAACAGCTTTCATATATGTCATGGCGTTCTTAAGAGTTCAAGTGAGTAGTTAATACTTTTCCCATTTCTCAGTTTGGGGAAACCAAAGCACCAAGTAGTTGTATGATGTGTTGTTGTTTTTTTCCTGAGACAAATTAGAAACTGGTGACAAGAACAGTTGATATCCCAAAGTCTTCAAGTTTCAGCCATGTCCTGGCATGTTCTGTAAGACTTGCTCTCAACTGTGGTTTGGAAGCACCAGCCAGACTTCAAACCCTCTGAAGTTATGTTGATGGGAATTTCAGTGTTCAGTGAACTGTGTTTCAGTGGAAGGCAGGCAGGCTTTAGTCAGCTCTATTGCCTTGGGCAAGTCACTTGGCTTAAGACTTTGTTTCCTCATCTGCAAAATGAAGTTCTATACTTATTTATATAAAGATGAAATGATATAACAGATGAAGAAACACCATGAAGAAAAGCTGTCTCATAGTGGGTGCTCAAGCATGTTTCTGCAGGAGCCTTGTCATCACCACTGTCTTGTCTCCAATAGATCACCAAGAAGACTGATTCAGATCCATTTTCCTTCTGAACAATTTATTTCTCTAGGATAATATGGTTAAAGAAATTGTCTCTTGAGAGTTCAAGTCAGCAGAAGTTGATAAGGGAGCACTGTGCATATGTAGGAAAAGGCATTGCCTGCCAGGAATTGGCAACTTCAGGAGAAAGGGACCCATTGGTTCAAAGTGATTGAGTAAGGTCAGTCATAATTTTTGCTGGTTCTCTAACCCATTTTGCCAACCTGCCACTGAAAAGGTTCTCCAAGGTAGCCAGATCGTCCTGGGACCTTAAAGGTATTCCACAGTACTTCTAATTTTAATGTTGACTATCCCAAGAAGCCATGGATGCAACAAAGATGTTGCTCAGGTCCATCAAGTGAAACTCAGTGTCCCTCTCTGGCCTAGCACTAAGTGAATCGGCTCATCTGTCTGCTCTACATCTTTCTTATCAAGGTGGCTTCTTTTATTCATGCCTTTCCCCTACCTCCTATGAGATTAAGGGTCTTCCTCTGTTTAGACTTGCTGCTCCTTTGGAGCTTCTGAACCACTGCCATGTCTCTCAAAGGAAAGGCCTGTGTTTGCTATCCAGCACTGTTGTTGTTTGAATGCACGATTGAGGGGCTGGCAGAGGCAGACACAGAGGAAGAAGCAGGCCAAGGGAGTGAAGGAGAAGAAAGAACAAAATACACACCCAAGGAATGCAAAGGGGAGATACTTGAGAAAAATAGAAAAGGTAGAAAGAGGGCATATGTCTTTTAAGACAGACTCACACAGTGTCACTCAATCAACTTGCCACCCCCACCCCTCACATACAATACCCCCACAGGCACATGGCCCCCATACTGACACACAGACACAGGTCCCTTCTCCACAGGCACATGTTTCAGGGGCCCTCACACAGAAGGAGACTCATAACCCTCACACCCTCACCCAGACATGTGCTGTAAGGGGAAACCTTAGGGTTCTCCCTGGAAGAAACTCACCTGTGTGTCTTGATGCTGTGCTTTAGATATGAACGCCCAGGGTTTCCTGTGTTCACGGGTTGGTAATAGTACAACTTTAGCTTTCTGTTACTTGGGAAGTTTTGGTTGCTAATTTATTAGCTAGTTTAAACCCAGCAGCTTATATTCCCAGAACTGTGGAGAGGAAAATTCAGTCCGTAATATCAATGATCACAGTAGCAGCCAGTGGTGAATGTATCCTATGCCCCAGTCACTGGACTATCTCCTTTGCATCAGTGATAGAAACCCGTAAGTTATTGGCTCAATTTCACAGGCTGGTAAACCAAGGCCAAAGAGGTTTAGTAACTTGCCCCAATGTAGGTTTTATGTACTGTATGATTCCATTTTTATAAAAACAAGCAAAATCATGGTGTATATATAACATAAAAATTAAATGTGTACACACACACACACACACACACACACACACGCAGAAATCTTTAATGTTAACAGTGATTCATAATGGGGAGGTGGGGGAGGAATACTGCATGATTTTTATTTTATTTTTCATATTTCATATATTTCTATGAAGAAAGTGTGGTTTTTATAATTGGAAAGTTTTACTTTACAGTGTGTATTCTAGCCAGTTTTTTTCAGCTGCCATCTCAGGTCCTAGCCCTCCTTTCTTATTTGCTTAGAGGATTTATTAGCTGTTTGACTCCTTCCTGTGGAAGCTGATCTGAGATCCTCTTTTCAATTCCCATCTAACTCTAGCTCTATGGAGAACTGGGTCACCAGCCTAGCTGAGAGCAATGATTTTGGCAAGTCTAACTTAGAAGGGAAGGCTTGTCAAGGAAGTGGCTAAGCCCTGTCAACCCAAACTTCCACTCCTAAAAATCAAAGTTAAGGCCTGTTTTTTTTCTGAGCCTGAGTGAGTTTTGTGATTAGGTTCCATCTTGGAAATTTCTGTTTGTGTGAACTTGGTCTCCTGGTCTCTTGTTTTCATGAAAGGACTATTTGACATTTGACCAAAGAATGATTATAGGCTGGTGGGGATTGGTATCTGTTGATTAACTGCAGGATGTAAAAATGATGAAGTAAATGACCCCAAGAGAAAAACAGGTCCTCCATTCAAGGCTTGATTTGATCACCTTCAGCCTGCGACCACTGATTTGGTCAGAAACTACAAATATCATGAAATTTGAGTCAATGCTAATAACTTGACTCTATTGTGCTCAGTGACTTTCACCACATTGAGTTTAATCTTTGGTGGTAATAGTCAGCAGGGATAACTAGCATTTTAAGTAAAGTGCTGGGAGCCTGGAACATGTAAATTTGAAGGAGGTTTGTTCCTCTGCAGATGATTTAAATGTTAAGTACGTCCCCATGTAGGGGATACACGAAATGGAATCTGAAAACTATTATCTCCTGTAGAAATGAACTCTCAATTTACTCACTGCACAGGAAGGGCAGATTCTAGTCATTTTCACTGCCAGCAGGTGCCCTTTCTATGCATAATAGACTTCGCAAGTGTAATTAACACATGAGGACCACTGCTGCCAGATTTTCCTCAGGTACATGCTGCTAGGAGTTTTCAGGACAACAGTGTAGTGAAGGCTATAAGAGCTTTTTACAGTGTACTTGAAGATGAGGTGTTCATTGACTTCAGGACAAAGACATGTTAAAAGGAGCCGAGCCCAGGCCCCGCTGTTGGTAGCATAGGTCATGGTCCTTGAGCTCAGGGCCCCAAGAGCTGTCATTGCAGCCTTTGGTAGAACAGAGGCCAGTAGAGCAAAACTCTGGGATGCTGTGAGTAAATGGAAAGTATGATGCTGAAAACCCCGCAATTATGTGGAAGACTTTAATTGCATATTCACAAATACAACAACCAATTATCTGAGTTAACTTTAATTAAAGCTGTAATCACGGGTTTCAATTATCTGAATAAATCCATTTAGCACAAATGGTCTTTCCTAAATATTTCTCAACTTAATTTTTTTTTAAATCTCTTCCTATTTCTGAAGAGGGTGGTAGAGAAAGCACCTGGGCTTTGGGTTTAGGCAGACCTGGTTCACATCTCAGTTTCATCTCTTATTAGCTGTGCAACCATTAAAAATCTATTTTGCACCTCCGATCTGCAATTTTTTCCCTGTAAAATGGGTTTAATTTACCTACTTTGAAGGAAGGCTTTAGGAATTAGAAATATTGGTCATCAAGTGGCACACAGGAGCCATTTAGTGAATGGTGGTTGCTCTTATGGTTATTATAAACATGGGACCTGGATTTTGGTTTCCAGAGGATTTAACTTGCATTAAACATTATTCTTGCTTCTGTAGTCTGTGAGCTCAGGGAAAAAGTTTATAATTCATCTTCTCTTTTTACCCTTCAGATTGTTTTTATTTTGATTTTTTTTTTTATTTAACTTGAGTTATTGTATGGTTGTTTTCATTTGCAGCTGTGGCATAAGAATGAAAAGAAAAGAAACAAAAGCAGATGGCAGAGAAAACGAAAGGAGTAAGACATTTCCAGCCCTTATGAATATTTAAAAACATGTGCTGCTAGTTCCTTTCTACTTTAGATCTGTACCATTCTCCTAACTTTGAAAATGAAAATGAGAATGATCTCTACCTTGGCTGATGGCAGCCCTGACCTTGGCCAGTATTGTCAGAGCCTTCCCTCTTCTGGGACAGAAAGATTAACTTGCTGATGAGAATCAGCATTCCCTTTCATTGAGTCCAGTGTATGTGTCATGCTCTTTATAAACATTGCAAATCTTCAAAATCAAGGTATAAGGCAGGTATTATTAGCTCCATTGTATAGATTTGGAAATTGATGCTCAGAGGGGTTAATGACATACCCACTGTCAACAGCTAAGAAATGGTAGAGCCTGAACTTGCAATCCAAGGCCTCCTAATAATAAAGCTTTATTGACTAACGCTCCAAAGTGTTAGAAAAGAAGTTGTACCCATCACCAAGATTTTGTGAAAGAATTCTTGTAGGCTTCTTGATGACTTGCATTATGTAAACTTATGTTATCATTGATTAATTATTCATTCATTCAGCAAATATTTATAGAGCACTTACTATGTACCAGGCAATATGCTAATTAAATGTTGCTAATAAAAGGTCCATATGGTATTTCCCATGTAAATTCCCTTTTCTCCCTTATTTATTCAGAAGCAGTACTAATTAAGGACCACAAATCATTTACCAAATTTAATTGTTTATTTGGGTTATTTTGGACACTTGTTAACACACCTTTGTGATAAAACATTTCCATATCAGATCAGGACAAGTTCTCATGTTCCCCCAAAGAAATAGCCAGGTCAAGAGCCAAGTTAGTAACTAACTTCTGATGCTTGCTGAGA